CGACTTTGCATTTCCCAAATCCCATCGATAGTGGAAATAATCGACTTTGTCATGCTTCTACGGCAGTTTTCATGTAGTTTGCGGCCATTTTCTACTGGCCAGAGTGAGAGCCTATAGCTGCCTGCCACGAATAGGCAGGAAGATTCTATTGGCCAACGTGAGAGCCAACAGGTGACTGACACGAATGTTAACTAGCATGCCAGCATGCAAAAAAAAAATAGATAGCTGCATTCGTCACAAGTGGGAAAAAATTTAATCTGTATGGAACTTTACTCCAATTGGCTCATTCGCTTGATTAAACTTAACGTTGATTTTGATTACGCAGAACAGGGTTGGGTGTGAAAAAGTATTTGTTGATAACATTCTTTTTTCATTCGGTTTTTCCAGTTACGAGTCCTTTTTTAAAGCTGATCGTTTTGTGTTCATTTTGTTTAGTTCTTTTTACGTAACAGATTTAACGTTTAGTATAGAGCTTAGAAAAAATTCGCAGTGTGAGAGAGGCAAGAAGTAAGGCATGTAGCAACATCAGCACGGCAAAGGGCACTCCTTTAAAGGCAAGGAAGGGCAAAAATATTTTAAGTCAGGTGATAGCGATTGCTGTATGAGTCGTACGATTTTTGAATCACGCACGGGCAACGCCGGGCCATGCTGCTAGGTAATTAAATAATAAAGATTTTGATTTTCCAAATGATCTTAAAGGAAACTACCATCAATACTAGATAGAATGCTAATTGTGGACTTGAGAAACACACCTGTTTCTAAAACTTTTATAGTAGACACATTTGTAAATTTCAACAGACCATAACGCTGTCCGATCGATGAATACCTAATTTGCTTGTATAGAAACGGTTATTCTTAGCATTACCATAGAAATTATTGCCAGTATTTTATTGATCAAATAGACAGAGGGTGGAAATATCTGTGGCCAAGTGTGATGCGTGTGTAAGGAGCAGAAAAATGTGAATGTAAAGAGAGATTTTTATTTATTTTATTCTAATTCAATTTTGACGATGTATACAATTTTCAGAAATAAGATTTTAAAATCATTTATTAAATAAAATACCACTAAATCAAATAGTTTCCTCAAATAGTCACGGAAGTACTAGTAGCAATGATAAGAAAAAAAAATTAAATACAGTTTACCCCTGGAATTACCATGACAAATACAAAGGTTTTCAGTTACTATTTTTTATAATAAAAATAACCAGTTTGTTAAAGAACGTTCCTTTGTTGCAGTGATATATACATATATTTGATAGGCTGTATCGAATTTATTACGATCGTGGTAAGATTTTTGGGCTTTTTGGGGGTGGGGATGAAAGATATAGAAGTGATAGTGTTGTGATTTATTGAGGTTTAAGGATTCCATCAGGCGGGAAATATGACACGTCTTGTCACTTGTTGCGGTAATAAGAGTAAGAGCAGAAAAAAGAGTTCGGAGCCCCTCCCTTTTATACTATTTTAAAAACGCAACTAATTGGTCGTCTCTTGGCAGACAAGATGGTGCAATCCCATAGCAGCTATCAATTTCCTCAACAAAACATTTTAATTATTTACACTATTTAAACACGGACTATTGTCCTTATCTTTTCAATCAATATGAGAACAGTAGATAGGAGAATAATAAACCTCGTGTAAATAGAGCAATAAAGATAACTCCTCATCCCAAAAATCCAGACAGAATATATACAAAAACATCGCGAAGTTTCCAATGACAATAATGGTCATTGGATTGTCAAGTTTATCAAAAATATTCAATAACTACGACGAATCTATTTTCTGTCGTTGTTTTATTTTTCTTACATCTGGCAGTTATGAAATTTTTCACATGGACAAAAAATCAATTTTGAATTATCGTTAATATCTAAAAGGGAATTTTTGATGATAATTAGCAATTGTTCAGGTACTTTGTCGGATTTTTGTTTTTCGGAAATCTAAAATTAGTAAAATATATATCAACTACACTTCTCGTTTTTAGCGTGGTTTTCTCAAGTCCACATTATTTCTAGTATTGATGGGGATTTCCTTACAAACCTTTTGCTTCAGGTCATTTGGAAAATCCGAATCTTAATTACATATATCTTTTAGATGTTTGTACTATCCATTTTACTGTGTTGCTCCTTTTGGAATGATGTGATTTTTGTTGAAGAAAGAATTTCAAAATTTCGAAAGAAAATCCTAATTACCATTCATTAACGAACATTATATAGAGAGGTTAAACTTATGAATTCTTGGTAGAAGAGAATACGTTAAACATGATTTTTGTTTATATTTGTATTTTTTACGCATATCATCCCAAACAATTTGGGAGTGCCTCTAGCACGCAAAGGGGTTACAGAGTGTGAGAGCAAGACTAAAGCATGGTGTTTGAGGAAAGGATATAGAGAAGGAAGGTGATCAAGATCAAGGCATCATAATATGTCAAGTTTGTGATTCTGTACCGCCAGTCCATAACATCTGATCTGTCATCTCGTCTACAGTCACTTTCTCACAGGCGTGCTGTGGCTTCCCTCTGCTTTTTCTACAAATATTTTCATGGTAACTGCTCTGACGAGATACATTTACTGGTACCACAACTGCCTGAATTTAAGCGTGCTATTAGGATGGCATCTCGGTCCCATGCTTTCACTGGCGAAATGGTTAAATATAGCTGTCTTTTCTAATGAAATATTTTTTTTTATCTCGCACTTCACGACAGTGAAACTCTCCTCCTCTTACTTGCTTCCCTAATAGCTATAACCTTCAAATATCCAAATGTAATGTCAATCGACATCTTATGATGCCTTGATCTTGATCAGCGTCCTTCTCTATATCCTTTCCACAAACACCCCCCCTCTTTACTCTTACTTTCCCTCCCTGTAACCACTTGCGTGCTAGAGGTAATCCCGCCTTGCTTGGGGTGATATGCGTAAAAAAAAAAAAATACAAATTTAAACTAAAATCATGTGTAACATATTTCTTTCTACCAATAATTCATAAGTTTAAACTCTCCATATAATGTTCGTTAATAAATGGTATTAAGGATTTTCTTTTGAAATTTTGAAAGTTCTTTCTTTTCGTCGTCTTTTTTAGAGACTATACAAAAGGGTTTGGTAAAATATGTCACAAAGAGCTATTTGAACTACTAGGTAAACTTGACCTCCTATGATGTCTTGATCTTGATCACCTTCCTTCTCAATATCCTTTCCTCAAACACCCCTCTCTAGTCTTGCTCTCACTCTCTGTAACCCCTTGTGTGCTAGTGGCCTTCTCACATTACTTGTTTGAAATGCTTAAAAACACGTTTTGATGAAATGTGTCACAAAAAAACTACTAGGAAAACTTGACTTATTTGGGAAGGGTTTTGTAAAAATCCAGAAAATATACTGGCTGAAAATTACCTGCATACGGATAGAAAATGTATTCAACAATATAAATAGGTACCAGACAAGAATTTGTTTTATCACCGGACTTATTCGGCGATACCGATAGAATTAGACATCCTAGTTGGATTCATTATAGACGTCCACAATCTTCCATGTCTTTTCTCTTGTTAGTTATCTCATTTTTGTGAATGTCTTCTTTATCGGCGGTACATATTCTTCCAATTTCTATACATTTTTCGTTGTGTCATTGCTATTAAGCCTGTCTGCCTTTGTTCATTTCCTTGTGTAGTGTCTTATATTCTGTTCTGTGTCTTGGCATTGTTTTTGTCTCCTTTTCATCATATCAAGAATTTAATCTGTCATCGATTCATTTTTTTTTTTTCGTCTATTTTCCTTGGGGATTGTTATATTCCGCGCTAAAGCAATAAACACATAACACCAGGTGGATACTAGAAGAAAGGTTTATTGTGCACAAGTACAATATGAAATACGGTACAGTTATACACACAGGCCAATCTAGTAGTGAGTGCCACTAATTAGAAGGTCGGACGTGCTTGCGTCCTCTCTGTCACTCTCCTCCTGAGTCTCTCGTAGACAGTTTACTTTATAGGTACTTACTACCTATAGTGTAATCATTCATGGGGGTAACTGGTTATTTCATTACATCAGGGATGATCTCGATTGATGATGTTACTAAAGCTTGTTATAATGTGTCTAACTTCAAGTATCCATTTTCCTTTTCTCCTTGATATCTGCTTTTCACACTGGCCATATATTTCTTCTTTAGATTAGGATTGTTCCAGAGTCTACCATATTTGGCTTAGTCTTCTTTAATTTCCATAGTTTCACTATAAGTTTACATATAACTGGTAAGCGATCGCTCCCATAGTCGGTACTTGGTTCTTTTTGCAATGGAAGACTGTATTTCTGAATATCTTGTTGAGAGTTGTGTAATTGTTTTTATTTTTTTTGTTTCTCCGCCTGGGCTTTCCCATGTTCATATTCGTCTTGGGTATTCTTGAAACTAGGTTGGTTAACGTTCATTCGCCATACGCCATTACGGATTCCTAGTCCGAATTATTCAAATATTTCTCCATCCCTCTCTTTGCCTATTTTGGCATTCAGGTTTCCTGTGACTAGTTTAATTTCTTGCAAGACCAATAAAGAACAACACAAAACTTGCTTTCATATTGTCAAAAAAAAAATCGATTTGCGAAATAACAGGATAACAGAACATAAAGATCTGAGAATGTTTTTGAAGAAGAAATTTTATAAATGAAAAATGATGAATAATAGTTCAAAATTTGGCTAAAGAGATTCACGCAAACAAACTGCTATTATTAAGGAAATATATCAAAAGAAAAACATGCAAACTGAATGAAGAAGGACATGGAATTGTTTTCTCATACACGGATTTTCCCGGCAGTAGGATGTCTTTCATTTTAATTCCAGATAAAAATGGGAAACTAGAATACCATTTCTCAAGGCGAATAAACTGGGTTGCCTGAAGTAAATAGACAGCAACGTGCATTTCTTTATTTTCTAATCATTTGTACTCTCCCCACTCTCTCTCATTTCCCCATCTTTCCCTCTCGTCTTTCCCGTTCATACTGAATTTCTCTCTTTCCACATTCTTTGTCTTATTCTTTATTTTTCTCTCCCATTCTCTCTGCTTTCCTTTTCTATTTCTCTATCTCTCCTTCTTTCTCCCTCCTCTTTCGTTCTAACACTTTTCATATTCCCTCCCCTTTTCTCTATCTCTTTATTTCACTTTCTTTCTCTCTTCACACTCTTCTTTCTCTTTTTCTTTCCCTTTCTCTTTCGTTATCTCTTTCTCTAAACCTTTTCTTGCTCATTCTTCTCTTTCTTTTTCTCAAATTCTGTCCTCCATAACAGTCTTTTGATCTCCTTTTTTTTTCTTCCAGTCTGGTTATAAGTCTCTCTCTCTCTTTCTCTCTCTCTCTCTCTCTCTCTCTCTCTCTCTCTCTCTCTGTGTGTTTATCTCTATCTATATATGTTTCAGTGTCTGTCTTTCTGTTATGGTCCGCTTCCTTGTACCACGGTGATAGTCCAAGGTAGAAACAATAAAGAAGAACTCGAACACAGGTATGGAATAACACAGATATATTACAAACAGGTATATGTACAGAGAAGTAGAAAGTGTTAGTACGAACAATCAGGTTTAGTAGGGAGAACAATGTAGTCTCAACCAGTATCACTATTCCAATGTCTTTTAGTAATTGTCTGAACGCGACTCTGTTTCGGACTGCCTCTGACTCGACTGACTGACTCGCTCGCTCTGACTGACTGACAGACTCCTGACGGACCTCACTCCAGACTGAACTCCCTGCTTCCTCTTGAGGCGCACTATTTATTACGTATGGAATAGTCCATTATGTTATTATGGGTAAGGTCCTATAACACTTTCTACCGTTCAATCTCTCTCTGTAGCCTTCTATATCTCTCTACGTCTTTCTCTTTATTTTTCTCTTTCTATATTTATGTGTCTTTCATTCACTCTCTCTGTAGTTCTTTCTCTATGACTCCCACTAGATGTGTCTCTCTTTCTGTCTTTTTTCCTCATTCTCTTTTTCAGTTAGCCTCTATTTTCTTAGTCCCGTATTTTTCCCGCCATCACCAGGTCAGGTTGGAGACAATATAAGTAGACCTACTCTCAGCAACAGTAACCGGTGATCCCGAAATTAAACATGTGCAATTATATAGGAAGTGTTTTAAAAGGAGACAAAACATGAGACACCGAAATCCGAACGAGCTTCGGCATAGCGAAATATACCTTCAAATGCGAAGCAAGTTATTACCAAATGGGAAAGTATCGTTAGAACGATGAAAAGACTACTGAACTGTTATGTAATATCGGTCTCCATATATGGTGTTGAAATCTCCTCTCTTCTTTCTCATTCTCGCTGTTTTCCTTTTCTATTTCTCTATCTTGTCGGAGTTAACTCCTCCTTCAGTTCGTAACCCTTTCACCAGGGGTCGCTCTTCGCTGCTAGAAATAGCCGCTGACCCTTCGCCTCTTTCTCTCTTTCTCTCTCGGGCTTTCGCGTCGACACCTGGAGGTAAATCTCTCTTTTTCCTCAGGCTTTCAGCTTACACCCTCGAAATGTAGGCGCTAACAAGGGATAGCGTTTTCCAAAAATGCTGGGAACACGCTAAGCACAATACACACGCACACAAACGCACATATATAATATTCACACACACACTTTGTCTTTTGTAACTGTTTTCGTGTAACTTGTTATTAATATATATTTGTATACATATTCGGTCTTGTGTTTTGTTTGTTTTCTTTGCATTCTTTGGACTTAATTAAAAGTCCAACTTTCTTGTGTTGTTGGACCAGCTAGCAGGAAAATCTGAACCCACATGTGTTTCTTCTACGTCTACTCAACGACATAACAGCCACGGTCCACTACAATCTCTCGTTCTTTCTCCCTTCTCTTTCTTCCTAAATCTTTTCGTTTTACCTTCCCTTTCTCCATCTCTTTATTTCACTTTTTCTCTCTCTTCTCACTCTTCTTTTTCTTTTTTTTTAACTTCCTCTTTCGTTATCTTTTTCTTGAGACCTTTTCTTGCTCTTGTGAGCAACGGCAATGTACCAGCGAAAAGTGAAAAACATGGACACGAATCATCAAAAAGAGATAGAATATTTAGGGTACGTAATGATGAAAGAACGTTTAGAAAATTTAATACTCATTAGACATAATGAATGTAAGAGGGCCAGAGATATTCAATGCAAAACCTGCCTAACAGGATCGTTTAAACGGTTAACTGAACATGGATTAGGAGAGATAGCAAAAAGACTAACTTTACTAAGACCTACAAAGGATAGAAAATAAAGGAGAGCAATGCTAATCCATGTACTGAAGGGACATATTAGATTGAAGAGGAATTTAATTCTGAAGAATTGACGCTGGCTTCAAATCTTTATATATTCGTAATCGATAGTTTCTTTCATAGAATTCTTTGTCTGGGAATCTAAGAAGTAAAAAATAAAAAGTGTATTTCGGTCAGTTCATATCCAACACCTCGTGCTAGAACTGAGGGATAATATGTATATTTATTAATATATACTTAATAGCACTGTTATATTACATCGAAAACTGTTTTACTA